GATTATAGGATGTGCGGTGTATGTTAAATTTCGTGTTTCCCTGAATTTGTTCTCTATTCTACCCTCTTGCGGTAATGCTACCTCCACAACATCAAGTTTGAACGAGGTTTAATTGTGTTTCAACGATGTTTCCCTAAAGTTTCAATGAGGTTCCAATTTTTTTATGAAGGATGTTTCTATTGACTTAAATATTCCATCAATTAGAATGAGCACACATCCTATCTCTGCATAATTATCATGCACACAACCAACACACAAGGAAAGGGGAAAAAACTTGACCTCCAAAAGCTTCGTCGAAGCAAACCACTGATAACATAAATTTATAAAGCAAATCCTTATGAATCTTTCTGTAAATGTGGCATTTTCACATTCGGACTGTGAGAAAGTGCTTCAACAATGTGTCTTCCAGAAGAGAACTATTTGCGGCGCTATTGTCGTCAGATCTACCCACAAAGGCTAGATATTGGGTTTTCACCCTAAAGAGGACACTAGCAAACTCCAGACACTACCTCCAACAAAGGAATGCTGTAAAACACTACCATTCTCAGGTTCAATCAGTTCACCTAGAGTTTTCACACCAGAACTTGAGACCATGTACTTAGAGATCACCACCAAACTTACATCACCATGTACTACCACCCCCATTTTGAATGCAGAAGTCGCTATTGTAAGCTAGATCATCACGCCTTGACGGTTGTGCAGATACACACTCTGATGTGGACATCGCTGACAAGCCCATGTATATATGGAGCGGATCAGGGCTTGTCCGCCAGCATCAACGAGGTCATCGACGCAAGGAACAGCCCACTGCTTTCGCCAAAAAAAGAGTAAGAGACCACTGAAGTGGCCATCTGACAGCCCCAAGTGTTCGACGGTGATTGATATGGTTCATCAACTATTAGTATATGTCAGTAAGGGTCCTGTTGAAATTAACAAACACAAACACATGCTATATTGGCTAACCATTGTTGTCATTCTGAGTTCTGACTAACCAAGACAACCATCAGAGACCAGGCATTATTTACCAAAATTGGGAGTAGCTAATTTTGCTTAGAAAAATTAATACAATTTTCACCATGAGGCTTACTAGTTGATTGCCACAGTTGTCACGAGTCTCATATGAAAGGAAGGTATTAGTACATTACTTACAGCTTGACAAACCAAGCTCAGAGGAACCGAATAAATAAGGGGGACCGGGTTGGGGCATAAAGAACCAATGTGTAAAAATAACAAGCATGAATTCCAGGCTGTGCTGTGTATATAAGTTTCGTGTTTTCCTAATTTTCCTCTCTATTCTTCATCTTGCGGCGGTGCCGCCTCTGCCGCCTCTGCCGCCGGTTGCTCTTCGGCTGCCGCCACCAAATCGGGCAACACCTCCTGCGAGGGGCTCTTCTTCTTCATGTGGCTGTAGCTTCCTTTCTCCATGAACAGTTGCTGGAAATGGATCTTGCAGTACAAGACACCGTTGAGGGCGGCGTAGGAGGAGGTGGTTAGGATGCAGCCCCCGTGGGAACACTTGAAGCAGCTCTTGTGGTATGCGTCGCCCTCCAGAGTCATCTGAATAGCACGATCAGTCATGAAGTTGAGCAGTGTGATTGATTTGATATCTTAACAGAAGAATGGGATTAATGTTTATCAAACCATCTCATATTTAATTTTTCTGTACCTTTTCGAGTGGATACACTGTTTTCGTGCAGGCTGCACACTTATCCTGAGTACCGGAGAAGGCAGCTGAAAGCTTGCTTGGGGCCCTTGACTGTAGTACGGGGCATTCCGATTTGCATTGCAAAGACATTTATCCAGTTAGCACAGCTTGCATTACGAAAGAAAAGGAGCGCTAAAAAAGATAAGCTTGGCTCATGCATGAAGGCTAGGTTTGTGGGGCTGGGTTGTACGTACCAGTTCATTCTTGTCGCCAGATCTGTTACCTGCGCCACACAACACAGCTCTCAGGATATATATACCTTAATTACGTTAACCATAATATGTACGTTGTGAATTGTTCATTACCTGGTGTGAACTTCTTTGAGAAGCTCCCTGTCTCCTTGAAGAGCTGCTCGAAGTGCGTCTTGCAGTAGAGGACGCCGTCCATGGAAGAATAGCTGCACATCTAGAGGCCATGCACCAACGCATACAATTTACAAGGCTGTTATACATGCTCGATCTAAGTCGTTCAAGGAAGTGCATGCACATATGCACGATGCATCAATGCATGGAGGATTGATTGTATCAGAAGATGTAATCAAGGAACGTACGTACCGAGAGGATCCCTTTGCAGTGGCTGCATTTGAAGCAGGTCTTGTGGTAGATGACGCCGTCCGCCGTGAGGAGGTCGATGAAATGGACCGTCTTTTCGCACGCCGAGCACTTGTCCTGCGTGCCGGTGAAAGACATGTTGTCGGTGACGTACGACGACGACGGCGACGCCGGCCTGGCACGTACGTAGCACTGCGCGCGCGCCTAGCCTCTCCTTATTTCCAATCGCTTCCTCTCCGAGGGGGCGATAGGTAAAATAGCTATGGAAGAAGCGCCGGAGCGATGGCTACGGGGCACGGAACGAGGGCTCCGGAGCGAACATAGGGGCCGGGCGGCCTCTGCGCCGCTCAGACTTCGTCCAAGCTTGCATGCAAGAAGCTTGATTTAGGAGGAGAGGATGCCATGGTGGTGACTGTCTCGTCTCACCCTCATCACGTTGATTATCCTGACTCGTACCCTACAAAGAACTTATACTGCCTCGTACTACCTTTTTCTAAGAGTCCTATTGCTCGCATTTACTCTGGATTTATTTCAGGATTTTCAACGGTCTCTCGAAGGTGCTCATAGGTGTGTGTGCGCGCGTGTTTATAGAGATGAGTGTATACGCGTATATATGTGCACCTGTGTCTGTAACGTCTTTTTGCATTCGTTGGGTTTTGATGGGGACACTTGTACTTTTGTTCAGTCTGGTTTTGGCACGGTTTTTCTGTTTCTTTTTTGCTTTCTTTCTATTTTTCTTTGTTTGCTCGCCCATTTTATCCGGTTTTTTCTATTTTCTTTGCTTTTTCACCGGGTTTCTTTGTTTCTTTTTTGGTTTGCACTGTTTTTACTCTTTTCTTTCTTTTTGTATGTTTTCACTGGATTTCTTTGTTATTTCTCGGATTTCACTGCATTTTTTCTTTGGTTTCCTTTATTGTTTCTATTGTCAGTTTTCATGCGCTTTTAAACACATATCTCCTTTTTTAGTACACCATATACAATATGTGTTTATATGTGAAACTTTTTTGATACACGCTTAATTATTTTTCAAATACACGATGCACATTTTTCTTTTAATATGTGGTTTTAAAAAAGAAATAAAAAATACATGGTCAACATTTTTCAAATACACATTGAATAATTTTTCATGGCAATAAACATTCTTCCAAACTACACACACCTTTTTTCACGCTGTACAAATATTTCTAAATTTCTCAGAAATTTTCGTAAACAAGTGAATAGTTATTTAAAGTGACACACACCTTTTTTAATTACAGTAAATATTTTTAACCTACATGAACAATCTTTTACATTGCATAAACTTTTTTCTTTACATTTGCTTAAAAAAATTGCTTTCGCTTGTTGCTTTATTTTCTTTACATTTGCTTATATGATGAAATGTTCTAAATATATCTATGAGCGAGCGAGCGACCGAGTGGGCGGTCCATTTACAGCGTTAAGCAGGTTTCCGGTTATAAAGTTCCCAGCCGTTTTTTACAGGTTTGGGGAACTTTCTAGGAATTTTTTGAACAACTCAGAAAAAGGAGTTTTATGAACATTCCATTTTATTATTATTTTTTTCTTTTTTTACTGTTTTATTTTTTCTTTATTTTATTGCTTCTTTTAACATATACTAGCAAAAGGGCACGTGCGTTGTAACGGGAGAAAAAAAACCATAATGTCCAATGATGATGACCACATTTTGTTCGCATGTCATCGCATGACTTTAAAAATTTGTTCACAAATGCATGAAACTGTTTCTTTTTTCTAAATTTATTCACAAATCGAAGCAATGTGCACATTTTCGAAATAATATCATGGTTGTCAAAAAACTTGGTAATTCAAAGAATTATTCTAAATTTCAAGCAAAGTATTTTTAAAAACATACTATAATATTTCAATCCACCCCGGCAGTTAATTCTTCAAAATTCATGCCGGTATATAGTCACAAACATTCAGAAGCATTACTGTTTAACTACATACCTTCGATCATTCATGAACATTTTTATGAATTTGGGAATATTTTTGAATCGGCGAACAATTCTAGAATAGACAAACTTTTTTTTGAAATCAGCAAACATTTTACGAATCAGTAAACTCTATTGTAATTCACAATCTGTTATGCTAATACCGTTTTATAAGCTCACTATTTATTTCCCAAGGTGACTGATGGCAATCGTATGAGAAAGTATATAAAGTGATGGTAATCAGTGTAACTGAGCAAGGTGGGACTATTGACAAAGAATATGCATCATATAAAGGCGCACGCTAGCTGAGAAGATTTTTGATTTCATTGAAAGCTGAGACGTGTCTGTTGGCCCATAAGGTTCATCCGGACGACTAATTTCTTGTTTACAAAAATAAACTGAAAAAACTTACGGGGGGAGCTCCTAACCGGCGCCTTCAGCGCCGGTTTCGCGTTCTGGCTCTGGAAGCGCACGCGTTGCTGGGCCGGTCCAGGTGAACTTCGACCGAAAACCACGACGCGAAAAACTGAACGTGAAAAAAATTGCGAAATTTGTTCACAAATGCATGAAACTGTTTCTTTTTTCTAAATTTATTCACAAATCGAAGCAATGTGCACATTTTCGAAATAATATCATGGTTGTCAAAAAACTTGGTAATTCAAAGAATTATTCTAAATTTCAAGCAAAGTATTTTTAAAAACATACTATAATATTTCAATCCACCCCGGCAGTTAATTCTTCAAAATTCTTGCCGGTATATAGTCACAAACATTCAGAAGCATTACTGTTTAACTACATACCTTCGATCGTTCATGAACATTTTTATGAATTTGGGAATATTTTTGAATCGGCGAACAATTCTAGAATAGACAAACTTTTTTTTGAAATCAGCAAACATTTTACGAATCAGTAAACTCTATTGTAATTCACAATCTGTTATGCTAATACCGTTTTATAAGCTCACTATTTATTTCCCAAGGTGACTGATGGCAATCGTATGAGAAAGTATATAAAGTGATGGTAATCAGTGTAACTGAGCAAGGTGGGACTATTGACAAAGAATATGCATCATATAAAGGCGCACGCTAGCTGAGAAGATTTTTTATTCCATTGAGACGTGTCTGTTGGCCAATAAGGTCCATCCGGACGACTAATTTTTTGTTTAGAAAAATAAACTGAAAAAACTTACGGGGGGAGCTCCTAACCGGCGCCCTCAGCGCCGGTTTCGCGTTCTGGCTCTGGAAGCGCATGCGTTACTGGGCCGGCCCAGGTGAACTTCGACCGAAAATCACGACGCGAAAAACTGAACGTGAAAAAAATTGTGAAAGCTGGGTTACGATCTCAGGATCACACTCCTTTTTGTCTGACGCGAGAACCAGTAGACCAAACAAGTTCTGTTGTTCTATAGCTACGAAAAAGTGCTACTTAACTGTTATTCAGTGAAAACATTAACGTAAAATCTGAAAATTAGTTGAAAAGTTCATTGATTCTGCAAAATAAGTTCATCGATCTTGAAAACTAGTTCACCATTTTTTTTAAGTTCACAAAAATTTAAAAAGTTTCATCGATTTTGAAAAAAAGTTCATTGGTGTTCATCGATATTAAAAAAGGGTTCATCGATTTGAAAAAAAGTTCATGGAATTTGGGAAAAAATGTTCATCGAATATGGAAAAAGTTCATCGAATTTGGAAAAAAATCATCGGATTTGAAAAATGTTCATTGATTTTGAAAAATAGTTCATTGAATTTGAAAAAATTTCATCAAATTTGAAAATAAGTTCATTGATTTTGATAAAAGTTTATAAAAATTGAAAAAAGTTCACAAATTTGATAAAAAGTTTATTGAATTTGAAAAAAGTTCATCAAATTTGAAAATAAGTAGATCGATTTTGATAAAAGTTCATTGAATTTGGTAAAAGTTCATCGAAATTGAAAAAAAGTGCACAAATTTGATAAAAAAAGTTGGCGCATTTAAGGAAAAGAAAAAAAGAAAAGGAAATGAGAAAAGAAACATGAAAAAGGAACAAGAAAAAAAACGCCCAGAAGCTGACCAGCGAATGACCTAGGTAAGATTGAAAACGAAAGAAAGAAATTTCTGGGCATAGGCGCGTTGTTATCCTGGTGGTAAGTGCGCTCCACTTTCAATCAAGCGATCGAGTGTTCGATCCCTCGCTAACGCACGTTAATTTTTGATGTGGTTCAATAGGAAAGAAAAACAAAACGGGCCGGTCCAGGGCGGCGCGGGGGTGCTGCGGGGGTGTGCACCCGTTTGCGCCGATGCCTGTATCGGGCGCAACGGGCGCCGAATAGCATTCGGCACTTACGGGAGGGCATAGGAAACAGGAGGACCTCGATCCCTTGCGGGAGAAGGTAGGATTCTTAAAAAAAACTGAAACTACCTTTCTTTTTCAGAAACAAAACTGAAACAACCTGAGGGGCCTGATCGCACGTGTGAAGGCCCAAGTGAAGGAACGGGCCGGCCCAGGGCGGCGCGGGGGTGCTGCGGGGGTGTGCGCCCGTTTGCGCCGATGCCTGTATCGGGCGTAACGGGCGCCGAAAAGGATTCGGCACTTACGGGAGGGCATAGGAAACAGGAGGACCTCGATCGCCTGCTCGATCCCTTGCGAGAGAAGGTAGGATTCTTAAAAAAAAATGAAACTACCTTTCTTTTTTAGAAACAAAACTGAAACAACCTGAGGGGCCTGATCGCACGTGTGAAGGCCCAAGTGGAGGAACGGAGGCCCAACTCAGCTGATACAAACCTTTTTTTAATAGCTAATATGAAACTTTGCTCTACAAATTACTACCAACTCATGTATTTCACGTAACGTAGGATCAAATGCGGGACGAAACCAAGAATATCACATTGCTTTAATAGTACTAGCACAAATGCCCGTGCGTTGCAACGGAAGAAAATACCAGTTCCTATGAACCATTGTTGGGCAGATTGAGGAACTATGTCACTGGAAACAGTCGCTGATGACAAAATAAAAGATGCATTATTTGAGAATAATGACATGGAGCTTAGCACGTGGTTACGATTTCGAGTTAATTGATCTAATTGACAACATTTTTTTATGGAAACTTTTGAGCCCTTGTGTTGCAATAGTGGAGAAAAACTGGCCCGTACTAAGATTTAGCGAGAACTATTTATCAAAACACATCCACAATTTATGTGAAATTTAGTCTTTAT